ACCCTCTTGCAATCCAGGACCACTACGGGGATGTCGGAGAGCCGGTTTCAGCCCGATCCCACAGGCCAGGCCGAGGGACCCCACTGGTGTGTGAATTTGTGTACCTGGCCTCTAGTTATGAATAATGCTGCTAGGACGATTCATTGTATAAGTTTTTGTTAACATATGTTTTCATTTCTCTTTGGTATATACATAGGAGTTAGATTCTTTATATATTTTATTATAAGTCCTCTATCAGTTCTATGATTTATAAAAATTTTCTTCCATTATGTGTATTGTCATTTCACTTTTTTTTTTAAACAGCATTTCCATTTTTTAAAATTTTGTTTTATTGCTTAAAGTATTACAGAGTATTACATATGTCTCCTTCCCTCCGCCCCCCTTGACATTCCCCCAGCTTCCCCTAATCCCCAGTGTCTTGTGTCCATTGGTTATGCTTATATGCATGCATACAAGTCCTTCAGTTGATCTCTTTTTTCACTTTCTTGATGGTGTCCTTTGAAGCATAAAAGTTTTTAATTTTGATGGTGTCCAGTTCTTTTTGTTGTTGTTTCTTGGGCTTTTGGTTTTATATCTAAGAAACCATTGATTAATCTAAGGTCATAAATATTATGCCTATATTTTATTCTAATAGTTATATATGGTCTTTGATCCATTTTGAATGAAGTTTTGTATATAATGAGAGTTAGGAGTCAAATTTCATTCTTTTGCATGTGGATATCCAATTGTCCCAGAACCATTTGTTCAAACAAATATTCTTTTCTCCCATTGAATCTTAAAACCTTGTTTAAGATTGACCATAGATGTATGGATTTATTTCTGGTCTCTTAACTCTGTTCCATTGAATTATATGTCTATCCTGTGCCAATACACTATCTTGATTACTGTTTAGGTTCATAGTATATTTCGAAATCTGAAAGTGTGTCCTTCAACTTTGTTCTTTTTCAAGATTGTTTTGACTATTCTGGGTCCCTGAATTTCCATATGAATTTTCAGATCAGCTTGTCAATTTCTTCAAAGAAATCAGCTGGGATTGCATTGAACATGTAGTTAATTTTGGGGAATGTTGCCATCTTGAGTTTTTTGATCCATGAACATGGGATATCTTTCCATTTATTCAGGTCTTCTTTATTTTCAACAGTGTTTTGTAGTTTTCAGAGTATAAGTTTTTCATTTGTTAAGTTTGTCCCTAAGCCTCAGCAGGTGTGGGTCAGTGGTTGAGTGTTGACTGATAAACCAGGAGGTTATGGTTTGATTCCTGATCAGGACACATGCCCAGGTTGCTGGCTCAGTCCCTGCATGTAGGAGGCAGCTGATCAGTGTTTCTCTCTCACCAGTGGTTTTGTTTCTCTATAGCTCTCCTTTCCTCTCTCTAAAATCAATAACAATATATTTTTTAAAAAGTTTGTTCCTAAGTATTTTATTTCTTTTTATGTTATTATAAATGGACTTATTTCCTTAATTTCATTTTTGGTTTGCCCATTGCTGCTATACAGAAATACAATTGATTTTTGTATATCGATTTTGTCTCCTGTACCCTTACTGAACTGATTTGTTAGTCCTGATAGTTTCTTAGTAGATTCCTTAGGATATTTCATATATAAGATCATATCATCTGCCTTTGTTGTTTTCTTGCCTAATTGCCCTGGCTAGAATCTCCAGTACAGTGTTAAGTAGAAGTGCTGAGAGTAGACATCCTTGTCTTGTTACTGATCTTAGGAGAAAACCACCCAGCCGTTTACTATTAAGTGTGTTTTTCATAAATAATCTTTATCAGCTTGAAGAAATCTCCTTCTAGTCCTAGCTTATTGAATAAATCATGAAAAGGTGTTGATTATAGTCAAATACTTTTTCTTCATCTATTAAGATGATAAGGTGGATTTTTCCCTTTATTTTATTATTATGGTGTATTGCATTGATTGATTTTTTTTTTTATATTGAACTAACCTTGTATTCTTGGGGTAAGTCCCACTGACTCAAGGTGTATAATATTCCTTATGTGTGGCTGGGTTCAGTTTTATTAGTATTTTGTTGAGGATTTTTGTGTCTGTATGCATACAGGGTATGGGTCTGTAGTTTACTTGTGATGTTTTTATCTGGTTTTTGTATCTGGGTAATTTGGCTTCATAGAATAAGTTGGGAATTGTTCCCTCTTTTATTTTTTGAAAGAACTGTGAAGGATAGGTGTTAATTCTTTAAATGTTGAATTTTCTTGAAACTTTTTTTTTATAGAAAAGCCCTTGTGTTTTCTGATTTTGTTATTAATTTTCTATACATTAAGAGAATGCATGACTTCAGAGAAAGTATGATCTGTTTTTTATATTTATTGAGGGTTTTTTGATTATGAATATACCAAGGGTATCTAAAAATTGTTTTTGTTGTTTTAGCCTCCTTATGTGGTCTGTGTTTTCTCAGCTTTGGGGGTGTATGTGTCATAATTTGGGAGTCTTATTTTTAAAATTGTTTTCATGATCACTTTCATATGTCTATTTTTTGATTTAGCAGTTTTCAGCTTGCCTGTAAAATATGAGATTAATGTATTTCCACGTTCTTACCTCTTTTTCTCTTTACCTTTTGTTACAGTATTTCTACATTGTTTATGATGTTTGTAGTCATAGTTTTATTTGTTGTGTTGGATTAAGTGAATTCTGCTCACTTATAGTTCTTTGCCAGGCATTTCTTTCTCCATCCTAATAATTCTCCCTCTCATAATTTCTTTAAGAAAGATTCAAGGGAACTGTATTCTCTAGATTCTATATTTCAAACCCAAAATATATACATATACTAATTTATACTCTAAAATAACATTATATAACAGTGCCTGTTACCCACACTCTGCTTAACAGAATGTTATCATCAAACTTTGCTAATCTGATAGGCATAAATAGTATTTCATTTCAGTTTTAATTTGCAATTCTCTTCTTGTGTCTGAGGTCAAGTGCCTTTTCAGATGTTTAAAGCCCTTTGGTCTTTTCGCTCTGACTGCCAGCATCCTGTGCCCATCTCTCTGTTTGGTTCTCCCTTTTTTTGGAGGCCCTTCTTTATAGTAAGAAAATTATCCATTTTTGTCATTTGAGAGGCCAGTGTTTTTTCCTAGTTGTTTTTAGTTTCTGTATTACTACATGAAAAAGTTTAATTTTATGTTGTCTCGTTTTTATCCATCTTTTCTTTCATGGCTTCTGGATTTTGGGCCCTTGTTTAAGGAATTAACTATGAGATTTTTTAAGTTTTATTTTCTTGTCATAATATTAAATTCTCCCCCACCCCTTATCGTTTTGAGCCAAAGAGCATAAAGAACTTACTTTAGCATGTGCGTGAGATGGGTCTCTCATGCAACCTTTTTTTCAGGTGATGACTCCATTGACTCAGCAATATTTATTAATTTACAGGAATATATTTTTGGCAGTCATTAATGTAGCACCGGGACAGGTAGGATCGATCACCTAGGAATATATTATAGAATGAGGAAAGAAGGCCTGGGCTTGGATCTTGAAAAATTCCCCAAATACCCGCTTCTGTTTGAGAGGGAAGAGCCAACAAGGGAAACTGGGACGGAAGGGGAGCGCCAGAGAGAGCGGGAGCCAGAAGCGTGGGGAGCGGGGACGTGAGTATCTCACTTGAAAGGGAGAGGCTGGCTGAGCGAGTGGAAGTGCTGAGCGGCTCCGGAATTGAGGACTGAGAGCTGTTCACCAGGCCCCGCCACACAGGCCTCCGGAGGCCTCAGCAGTGGCTGTTTGGTGGGAAGGCAAGGCAAAGGCCAGATGCAAGTGGGTCCAGGAGGGGGTGGGAGGTGGGAGATGGCAGAGATGACAGTCCTTTCAAGAAGGGTATCTTGGAAGGGCGAGAGAGCAGAGACGCCCGCAGGGAAAGGATTTAAAGGTGGGAGACTTGTAGGTCCTCGGGTTACATCGGAGACGGTGCGCAACGTAAGGTGATCTTCGCCTTAAGTCGGAACCACCTACATGAGCACCCACGTCACTCACATGGACCACATACACAGCAGTAATGAAGTGAAACAGTAAAAACATTTAATAGAAAGATAACAATTCCTGACCTTCACTTGTGGTAAATAAATAATAAGAAACATAAAGCACATATGTACATACATCGAAATGACGGAACTCTTCTTTTATAAATAAATGGGAGATGGCAATGTAACCACGAAACGACGTACACTGAGTCCGACGTAACCGAGGGCTGTCTGCATTTGCCTGCTTAATGCTGAGAGTAAAGAGGGATTGGTGGAGGCAGTAAGTGAAGAAAGACATCAGTGGTGACAGGTCCCTGAGCAGCGGACCAGGATCTCAGTCTGCCTGAGGTCGGAGAGGCCACTGGTATTTTGCAGGAGGAGGAAAGGAGGCGAGGAGATAACTGTCTTTGTTCACCTCATCTTGTCTCTAAAGTAGCTCAGTGTTAGAAACTGATGATAGGTAGCATGGTAGACCCAGCAGAGGTCAAGGGTCATGTCACTGAGGAACTGGCTGAGGTTAGAGGTGAGGTGACTGTACCGCAGAGCCAGAGGATTATGCCTGTCTGGTTCCAGAGGAGGATCTTTCTTTGGCTTAATTGCTGGGGCTGGGGCCAAGGTCAAGCTTTTCTCCGCCTGTTGCTTTTCCTCCCCAGCCCACCTCCCACTCAGGTTGTGTTTGCTGCCCACACTATACCCCGCTCCGGCCAGGGCCTCACTCCTGCTGCACAGGGTGCAGAGGCCCCGCCACTGGCGCCTGGCCCTCTCAGGCCCGTTCGCTGTGGTCCCTGTGGACCTTTTCTCCCACCGATGTGAGCCCGTGGCTTGAAGAGCGAGAGGCTGGTTTCCGTTGCTGTTGACCTGGTGGGGCCCCTGGCCGCCTGTAACCCCAATGGGGGACATCTTTCCCTCAGTGTTTATGGTGGGCGTGTTGGTGTGTTGCAGAGGCAGAGGAGGTAATTCTGCGCTGGCTTCGTGGCGGGCTGCTTTCTCTCTTCCTCTGCCCTGGTCCTGAGCACCTTCCCTTCTGCAGGGGGAGACCAACCTGCCTGATCCTGGAGACGCTTGGGTAGGGGATGTGCGGGGCCGCTCTGCAGTGAGGAACAGTCAGCTGAACTTGGCTGGATCTGCCTGGAAGAGCTGGGTCTACAGTGAGTGGTGGGGCAGTCACCTGCCTGGTTTGGGGACTTTGGGGGCTGAGGTTGCCAGATCCAGGGGGTCACCGTCCCTCAGAAGCTGCTGCTGTCCGGCCCTGATGCCCGTGCCACCTCCGCCTCTTCGCTGTAGGTCGCAGAGCCTCGCTGGGCAGTTGCTGCTGCTCTTCGTCCAGTGTGTCCAGCCTGGGGAGCTGCTTCTCCTCCTCCTACCAGGACTTGGCCAAGCGCATTGTGGACATCTGTCTGGCTGATGTGAGGACCTGCCCCATGTGTCCCCGTGGCTCCTTGGACAGAGCTTGGCTGGGGGAGAGC